TGTTATGTTATTTTTTTGTATCTTTTCCATTTCCCCTAGTTTTTTTTTTAATTCGTTGTTTTCCTTTTTTAATTTATGTTATCCCTTATCAACTCCTGCATTTTTTTTGTTTCTTTTTCCGTTTTTTCTACTCTTTTTTTTAACATCTTCAATTCAGTTAAAATATCAATTTTTTCTTCTATTCCGTTCTCCTCCTCCATTTCAATGTCTGATATATCCGATATTTCATTTTCGTTATCGTCCTCAAAATCATCTTCCTCTCTCATGTCTAGTTCCATTTGTTCTTCACTTGTTGATTGTGTTCGTATTTTAAAATGGTTTTCATTTCGTCATATGTTGTTCCTTTTTCGCATTTTTTGCACTTGTATCTGTGGCTTAGGTGGGTTTACTTTGGTTGCTTCTCCATTTTGCTGCTTGTAGGCTTCCAATTGTGTTACATGTTCTTGCTATGCTATTTGGTCATCTGTGCAATTCATACGCTGTACTCATACGGCTTCTATTTCTCCGTATATTGTACTCCCTTTTTTTTTCCTGTTATTGTTGGTTTTTTCTCCTATTTGTCTTTTTTTTCCTTTGTGGCTCTCGACATAATTTCTTGTACCTCTTCCAAATTGCATAGTGTTTTGTGCATTTTTTGCATTGTTAGTACAATCTCTGTACTTTCTTCATCTCCTACTTCCATGTATCTATTCTGTTGATGTTATCCATGCTCCTTTGCATTCTTGACATTCGATTTTTTTTTGGTGTTTGTTGAATTTATTAATAAATTCAATTTGCTGTTCATTCAGATGCTCCTTGTTTGCTAGTTGTATTTCATTAAGCATTTCTTCTATTCCTATTCCGGGAGAAGTTGATGCACTCCTTTTCTTCCGGTAATGTTCTCCTGATCGATGCTCATTATACCCAATGCGGATGATGTTGCATTTCTTCTTCTCTTTTTTTTTGTTGTTCATTATCATTTGTTTTAGTATTTTTTGTTGGTTTTTGTTGATTTTTCTGGTGCTGGTGGTTGTTGTGTTTTTGTTTAAGGTGGGTGACAGATAGGGGATGCCTATCTTGACCTCCTGATCGGTGGGCGTAGGTTCCTGCGACATGCGTTGTTGTCCAGGTGATATCTACTGCAACGATTTTTTTTACATTAGTTCTTTTTCTAGTTAAATTGCTTTGAATACTGCTTTATCGCGGATTTTAAGGGGGTGGCTTAGTCGAAAAAAGTATATAAGAAGGCGGATTTGCAACGCGCGATAAAACTATCTACTCTCTTCTTCGATAGTATAACTTAAGTGTTTATTGGTGAGGATGATGAGTACTAGTTACTCCCTCTTATGTTTCGTTTTAAATAATGAAAATATAGTAAAAATAAAATAAAGTAAAGGTGTGTCTAAAAAACTTCATATGTGATGAAGGAAAAAAAGTTAAAAATGGGAAAGGGAGAAATGTTGCATGAATTTGTTGTTATTTTGACAGGTGATCTTCAGGGTTTGTTTTCGCTGATTATATAATCAATTTTAATTTGTTGCTGTTGTTTTTTGAGATGCCTTCGGATTACCTCCGATTGGTTGTTCTTCTGTTGCTGGTTCTTGAAAAATGTCCATTGCTTCGTTCGTATTTCTTCCTGTCAATATTTGTTTCAAGTTGGTCTTCGCTAATAATATTTGGCGGTAAAAGCATCTTGCTACTGATTTTTTTACCGGCTCTCTAATAAATTCTAATGCTCTCATTGAACAGTTGTTCCTAATTTGCTCCAGTTTTGCTATTTTTTCTTCTGTCGATAGTCCTGCTAGTTTGCTGTCTCTTAAATGTGAAATATGTAGGTAGTTATATTCCTTTGTGAATATACCCGCCTGTTCCTAATTTTTTTTCTGCTGTGTCTTTATATTTTTCGTGTATTAATAGTAGTACTGTATCCCAATCTGGACAGTATGTATCAAGTACTTGAATATTGTCGATTCCTACGAAGGCTAATTTTTTTCTAATTTCGGATGGTTTCATTCGTCTTTTGCATGGTATATGTATGTTTATAAGTTGTTCTCTTCCTTTTTTTCTTCGAATGTTCTTGTTGCTATTTCCAATTGTTTCTTGGTTGGGTTGTTTTGTCGAAAAAATTGATTTTTTCTTCTTTTGGTCCAATTGTTGTTGTTGTTGTTTTGTTGTTGTGCTATATTGCTTTTTGTTGCTTTTAAGTATGGGAACTCGTTATGTGAGTTTGTGTTGCTGTCCTGAATTTTACTTTGATTTAAGTTTTCTTCTTGATAGTTGTTGTTGTTGTTATTTGTTTCATTGTACTCTTCTGTTTCATTTTCTTCTTCCATTTCTCGCATTTTCTTTTTTAGTTCAATATTTTCTTTTTTCAGGTTGATGTTCTCCCTAATAAGCTCCTGCATTTTTTTTGTTTCTTTTTCTGTTTTTTCTAATCTTTTTTTTAGTAGCTTCATTTCGTTCCAGACATTTATTTCTCCTGCTAGTTCTTCGTCTTGTTCCATTTCTGTGTCTGCGATATCTGGCACATCATTTTCGTCGTCATCTTCAAAATCACTTTTTTCTTCTGTATCTGTTTGCATCTGCTCTTCGTTTTTTTTTGTTGTTTCATACTTCAAAATAGTTTTCATCTCAGCAAATGTTGTTCCTTTTTCGCATTGTTTACATTTGTATTGTGGTTTTGGTGGCTTTCCTTGGTTTCTTCCATTTTTTTGTATAGTTCCAATTGTTCCGCATTTGTTGCATGATATTTTTTCTCTTGCTAGTTCATATTGTTCCATAACAGCTTCTACGTCTGCTGTATACTTTACTTCACCTGTTTTTTTCTTGTCATTTGTTGTAACTCTTGTATCTCCTATCTGTCTTTTCTTTTCTTTTGTTACTTTAGTGATTAATTCTTGTACCTCTGCCGTTGTAAATTTCTTTGTACATTTTTTGCATAATAAAACAATCTCTGCATATTCTTCGTCTTCGATTTCGATATGATCGATTCTGTCAATGTTTAACCATGTACCTTTGCATTTGCTACATTCTATTTGTTTCTGATATTTGTTGAATTTGGTGATAAATTCCATTTGTTGTTCATTCAAATGTTCTTTATTTGTTAGTTTCAATGTGTCTAAGGCCTCGCTTGTTCCTATTCCGGGGGAAATTGGTGCACTCCTTTTTTTTCCTGTTGTGCCGTTTTTTGTTTTGTCCTGGTCTATATCCATTATGCCTAGCGCGGTTGATGGTGTATTGTTTCCTGCTTCATTTTTTTGTTCTTTTTCATTTGTTTTCGTATTTTTTTGTTGGGTCTTATTGTTTTTTCTGATGTTTCTAGTAACTGCTGTTGTTTCATTTAAGGTAGGTGATAAATAGGGGATACCTATCGTGACCTCCTGATCGTTGGGCGTAGGGTCGTGTGACATGCTTTGCTTGTGCAGGTGATATCTACTGCCCGACTTGTTTTTTAATTAGTTCCTTTTCTGGTCAAATTGATTTTATCGCTGATTTTAACGGGTGGCTTAGTCGAAAAAAAAGTATATAAGAAGGTGGATTTTCAACGCGCGATAAAACTATCTTATCTTCTTCGATAGTATAACTTAAGTGTTTATTGGTGAGGATGATGAGTACTAGTTACTCCCTCTTATGTTTCGTTTTAAATAATGAAAATATAGTAAAAATAAAATAAAGTAAAGGTGTGTCTAAAAAACTTCATATGTGATGAAGGAAAAAAGTTAAATATGGGAAAGGGAAAATGTTGCATGAATTTGTTGTTATTTTGACAGGTGATCTTCAGGGTTTAATTTCGCTGATTATATAATCACTTTAATTTGCGGTTGGTGGTTTTAGCCAATGAATAAGCGGGGAGATATCCTCAGGGTCTGGATTCATTTCGTCTTCTGTTGTGTGGCAAAGTGTTTCTATTTTGTTAAATATTTTTGTGAGTTGTATCCATTTTTGAATAAAGTAATTTTGCTTTATTCTGTTGCTGATTTGTTTTGTTGGTAGTTGGTTCAAGATGTAGTCGATAGGTGATGTGACGATTATCGGTACTTGTAATATTTGATGTAACTTTAGACATTGAGTTAAATGATTTCTAGTGGTGTTATTGTTTAATGTTGTGTCGCAGTTTTTACATGTTGTTGGTCGTCCGGGTAGCCATCCCATTCTCCATCTGATTATTCTGCTTCTTTCGAAATTATGCATAGGTAGATACATAATGGGATCATTTGCTATATTTGATCTGCACATGCCTACATAAAATTGTTCACATTGTTTTTGTATCATATTTTTTTTTAAATACTTATTAATTGCTTCTCGCAGCAATTTTTCGTAATGAATGTGGGAAGGGTTCTTGAGTTTGCTGGCGGGAGTGGTAGAGATTGCCAGATCTCGTTTCTTTTTTGTAATTTTTTGAAATGAGTGTCGCGGGTTGTAATGACTTGTCTCAGCATTGTGTAAATGAGTGTGGTGTTAGGTAGCTGGAATGTGCGGTATATGTTTTTGGCTTGTAACACCATTTTTCGCTCTTCCATTGTTGCTATTTTGTTCATATGTTTTATTGCTGTGTTGATGACGTTGCATGTCCATGGAATATTTTCCTTATTGCGTTGTCCTGGGCTTTTTCTAGTAGCTTAAATGTTTTTTTGGTTGTATTGATAATAGATAATCCATATTCAAATACTGGTCGAACGAATGTTTTATAAAACCTGAGCGTGAGAAATTTGTCAAACCCGGAGTTGTTTGCTCCTATTTGGTGTATCGCTTGCATTGCCCTTGTTCCTTTTGCTGCATTATTTAAAATCATATTTTTATCATCTATACCTGCACTGTTAAAATAAATTCCCAAGTACTTGCAAGATGTTTGGATTTCAATTTGTTGTTCATAGATTGAGTATTGTTGTTCATAGTAATTAATATCTTCGATGTTGCGTATGCTGTTTGTATCTGGTGATAAAATTAAGCTTTTGGCTGGGTTCCATTTATATCCTTTTTCATATGAGTGTTCCTCTGCTAGCTTCAACATTTGTTTTATTTCTTCTGGTGTTCCTATACAAGCTACATCATCTGCAAATAATAATGAATTAAGTGAGTAGGATATATTTTGTATTTCTATTTTTGTTGTATCGGCACCAGCTGCAGCTCTTAATTTTTCGGGTAAAGAGTTGATAAAATAGAGTATAAATGTGGCGATAAGGTTGATCCCTGTAATACACCCGTTTCTGTAGTAAATGGTGTGGTTGATTTTAATCCATTTTGAATAACTTCAATTTGTACTTCGTTAAACATTTTTTTCAGTAGTTCTATGAATGGTATGGACATGTTGCTTTTTGTTTTAAGTGTGTTCCAAATGATATTTCTATCTGTTACGTCATAGGCGGATTGTATGTCTAATAGTGCTACAACTGGTGCTTTACCTGTTTTTTGTTTGTGTTTAATAATTAGTTCCTGTAATATTAGCGCTTGGTCTATTGTGGATCTTTTTTCTCTGAATCCCCCCTGAACTGGATCCAATTTGATGCTTTGATTCAGTAGTGATGCATATATTGAGAATTCAAATATTTTTCTTGTAACACATATGAGACTAATTGGTCTATAGTTTTTTGGATGTTGGGGGTCACCCTTTTTGTATATGGGTATGACTTGGGCTATATTCCATTTTTCTGGGAGGACTGTGTATTTCCAGCATATTTTGAAGATGGCGTAGAGTATTGGTGCTATTGTTTCGGCTATGGGCTGGAACATTTCTGCTTTGAGGTGGTCCACTCCTGGTGCTTTATTTTTGGGTAATCTATTAATGGCATCTATAATTGTTTCCACTGTGAAAGGGGGTACTTGTGTATAACCTCCTGGAGGTGGTGCATGATCTAAAGTTAGGTTTTCTATTTGTGTATTTCTGATGTTACCATTAAACGTGTTTTTCCAATTGAGTGTTAGTTTATCGACTGCGTCTTGTGGTCCATCTATGCTTTCAAATGCCACGCGAATTCCTTTATTGGATTTGATGTTTTTAATTTTATTTGTTGCTTTGCTGAATTCCGTTGAGTTTAGTGTGTTGCAGAAGTTTCTAAAATGTTTATTTTTTTCTGATCTTATTTTTTTTCGTACTTCGTCTGCTAAATCTAGGTGTTCTTTCCAGTATTTTGCTTTATTGATTCCTGTGGCTCTTTTCCACTTTCTATATATTTTTTCTCTTTTTTCTGAAATATTTTGTAATTCTGCCGTCCAAAACCATTTCCATTGTTTTTGTCGTGGTGTTTGTTTATTGATAGTGGCGTCTAGCGATTCATATATTGACGTGCATAAGTTGTTTTCGATGTCATCAATTTTTTCCTGTATTTCATATGTTGGCATAGTGTTGTTGTTATTTATTGTGTCTATTAATGATTGTATGTGGGGTATTTTCCGACGCATGATTGTCCTGTAGTCTAAAATATATTTGTTTTCATTTGTATTTGTTTCTGTATTACCTTGGGTCGTCCCCTGTGTTGGGATTTCCCCTTTTTTCATAAATTTATTTAGTTGCCATAGTTTTCTTGGATGTTCTATTTTTTCTGGTGGGGCTGGTAGTGAGTGTATAAAGAAAAAAATACTAGTTTGTGGTTGGATCCAAGGGATGCATCATCGTGTATTTCCATATATGGGTCGATTATGTCCTCTTTTTTGTTGCTTAAAAATAGATCGATGATGCTTTTTTGATCTTCTGTATTCATGTGTGTTGATCCTTTTATATAGGTTGGTTGTCCATAAGTTAGTTGTTTGTTCCATAAATGTAATCCATTTTCTGCTATAATATTAAGGAGAGATGTACATCGTACATTGGTGATGGGCATATAAGTGTTATTGACTATTCTTCTGTCGCCTAGGTAATTTCCCATTCTGCAATTAAAATCGCCGCATAGGATTATTTTGTCATTGTTCATATTGTGTTTTCTTATTTCTGTGTTGATTATATTTTCGAACTCTTGTGTTGTTACTGTGGGGTTAGGTGGTATGTAAAAGCATATAATGATATAGTTTTTAATTCTGCATGTTAGTACGTATTTGTTTGTAATTGGATCTGTAATGACTGTATGGGGAAATTTCGGGTTAATTAATAAAGTTATTCCGTTTATACCCTTATATCCATTTTCGGCTAGCTGTGCATAATTATTTTTTTGTATCCATGATGTTTTAAATGATTGTGATTCTAGGAGCCATGATTCTGTGATGAAAAAGAGTGAAGTTGAAGGATTGATTTGTTGGAGTGTGAAATCTATTGATTCCTTGGTCATTCCTGTTGCGTTCCATAGTGTGATGTTTAGTTTTTCACACATTAAATATTATTTTGGTGGTTTGTTTGTGTCTCGTCGTCGCCTTGGCTTTCTCCAACTGGGGCGGTTTGGTTCTCTTCTGATGTTGATTCTTTGAATATATCCATTGCTTCGACTACGTTTCGTCCTGTTAGTATTTGCTTCAGTTGGTCATCACTAATTATTTTTTGTCGGTGAAAACATCTCGCAACTGATTTTTTTACTGGTTCTCTTATAAAGTCGAGTGCTCTCATTGAACAGTTATTTCTAATTTGCTCTAATTTTGTTGTCTTTTCTTCTTTCGATAATCCTGTAAGTCTGCTATCTCTCAAATGTGAAACATGTAAGTAGTTATATTCTTTTGTTTGTATACCAGCCTGGTCTAATTTTTTTTCTGCCGTCTCTTTGTATTTTTCATGTATTAATAAAAGTACTGTATCCCAGTCAGGGCAGTATGTGTCCAGTACTTGTATGTTGTCAATTCCCACAAAAGCCAGTTTTCTTCTTATTTCTGATGGTTTCATTCTTCTTTTGCAAGGTAAATAAATGTTGATGAAATTATTCTCTTCTGTTTTTTCTTCAAATGTTCTTGTGGCTAATTCTAATTGTTTTTTTGATGGATTATTTTGTCGGAAAAACTGGTTTTTTCTTCTTTTGGTCCAATAGTTGTTATTGTTACTGTTGTTGTTTTGTTGTGTGTTATTATTTTTTGTAGCTTTTAGGTAGGGGAACTCTTCTTGTGAGTTCATATTGATTTCCTGGTTGTTTTTATCTTCTGTTTGGTTTATATTGTTAGTGCTTGTTTCATTTTGCTCCTCTGTGTAACCGCTATTATTTTCTGCCCTTCCTTTTCCTTTATCTTTTTTGTCTATTTTTTCCTTTTCTGTTATGTTATTTTTTTGCATCTTTTCCATTTCCCCTAGTTTTTTTTTTAATTCGTTGTTTTCCTTTTTTAATTTTATGTTATCCCTTATCAACTCCTGCATTTTTTTTGTTTCTTTTTCCGTTTTTTCTACTCTTTTTTTTAACATCTTCAATTCAGTTAAAATATCAATTTTTTCTTCTATTCCGTTCTCCTCCTCCTCCATTTCAATGTCTGATATATCCGATATTTCATTTTCGTTATCGTCCTCAAAATCATCTTCCTCTCTCAGTGTCTAGTTCCATTTGTTCTTCACTTGTTGATTGTGTTTCGTATTTTAAAATGGTTTTCATTTCGTCATATGTTGTTCCTTTTTCGCATTTTTTGCACTTGTATTGTGGCTTAGGGGGTTTACTTTGGTTGCTTCCATTTTTTTGTAGGCTTCCAATTGTGTTACATTTCTTGCATGATATTTGTCCTCTGTGCAATTCATACTGTACTACTACGGCTTCTATTTCTTCCGTATATTGTACTCCCTTTTTTTTTCCTGTTATTGTGTTTTTTTCTCCTATTTGTCTTTTTTTTTCCTTTGTGGCTCTCGACATAATTTCTTGTACCTCTTCCATTGCATAGTGTTTTGTGCATTTTTTGCATGTTAGTACAATCTCTGTACTTTCTTCATCTCCTACTTCCATGTTATCTATTCTGTTGATGTTTATCCATGCTCCTTTGCATTCTTGACATTCGATTTTTTTTTGGTGTTTGTTGAATTTATTAATAAATTCAATTTGCTGTTCATTCAGATGCTCCTTGTTTGCTAGTTGTATTTCATTAAGCATTTCGTCTATTCCTATTCCGGGAGAAGTTGATGCACTCCTTTTCTTTCCGGTAATGTTCTCCTGATCGATGCTCATTATACCCAATGCGGATGATGTTGCATTTTCTTCTTCTCTTTTTTTTTGTTGTTCATTATCATTTGTTTTAGTATTTTTTTGTTGGTTTTTGTTGATTTTTCTGGTGCTGGTGGTTGTTGTGTTTTTGTTTAAGGTGGGTGATAGATAGGGGATACCTATCTTGACCTCCTGATCGGTGGGCGTAGGTTCCTGCGACATGCGTTGTTTGTCCAGGTGATATCTACTGCACGATTTTTTTTTTTTTAATTAGTTCTTTTTCTAGTTAAATTGCTTTGAATACTGCTTTATCGCGGATTTTAAGGGGGTGGCTTAGTCGAAAAAACGTATATAAGAAGGCGGATTTGCAACGCGCGATAAAACCATCTACTCTTCTTCTTCGATAGTATAGTGGTGAGTATCCCCGCCTGTCACGCGGGAGACCTGGGTTCAATTCCCAGTCGGAGAGTTTTTTTTTTTGTAGGCATTAGGTCCTCACAATTTGAAATTGTCGGGTCTGATATAAGTGTTAAGCTTAGTTATAGATATTTAAGTAGAGTAGTAAAAGAGTTATCGTTTTATTGAATGATTGATCTGACATATTTATAAGTATCTAAAAGCAGTCACGACAATACCCCCTTCCCAAAAAGAGCTTCATGTACGGGGAAAAATTATGAATTCATAATTTTATCTTTTGCTCTGGCTGTGCGAGGGATATACCAAGATTTGTCGATTGGGTTGCCATCATATTTTACTGGATGCAATCTATCAGTGTGGACCCAAGAAGAATATACTTTTCCATCCACTTCCTTGATTTGATATGTATTGAAATCAAAGTTGCACTTGATAACTTGATATGGTCCCATCCAGTTGAATTCAAGGCCTTTCTTGCTTTCATGCCTGAGCATGACATAGTCATCAATCTTGAATTCTTGAGTTTTCTGATTTTTTAATGCACCATCCCACTTTTCTTTGTCTTTTTCGGCCTGTATTCTTAGTCTATCTTCAGCTTGGAAACGATTTTCGCGAAGATATCGCAAATGGGTTAGAGCATCTTCAGCTATCAACTCCGGGTCTTCTTCTGTAAGCGGATCCATAAAAGGCCTAAGTGGATCGCCAGGGAGAATAGGATCTACGCCATACGTCATATAAAATGGGCTGAGGCCAGTAGTTGCATGCTTACGTACTCGACACGCAAAGAGAGCAGTTTCCATAAACTCATCCCAACTGTGAACTTCTCCTTTCACGTATTTGGTCAACATGTGCTTAAATGTTTGGTTAAGACGTTCACATTTGGAGTTCGTACGAGGATGAAACGCACTGGTGAAAATATGATGAGTCTTGATCTTCTGCATATATTGTTTCAATATCTTTGACATGAAATTGGCACCACGGTCAGTTACAATTTCTACTGGGCAGGAAAATCGCATAACAATTTCTTCATAGATGAATTTGACTATTTCAGAAGCAGTAGCAAATGGAAGAGCTTTTGCTATAGGCCAGTTAGTGTTGTAATCGACTGCCATGATTATCCATTTATTGCCATTTTTTGTGAGGGGCAATTCACCAATAAAATCCAGATGCCAACGAGAAAAAGGCGGAGGTACTTCCAAAGGTTTCATAGGAGCGTGGTGAACATCTTTTTCTTTTCTAGAATGCAGTTGACATTCAGGACATTGCGATAGCCAGTTAGAGATATCACCTGCCATTTTCGGCCACCAAAATCTTGTTTTCATCAATTGCGTAACGGTAAGTTTCCCTTGATGGCCAAAACCTCTGTGAAAATCTTCTACTAAGTCGGCTCTTCGTTTAAAGGGAATGAATTTCACCAATTTTTCTAAGGAATCCGTTGAATTGGTTAATTTCTTCCAAACATGACTTTCTTTGACAACAAAATTCTTGTGTTGATTAATCAGTTGTTTTTTGATATTTTCAGGCCAAGAATCTTCATCGTGGAAATAGAACAGTGGCCAGTCTTGCAATGGATCGGTAATTAAAGGATCATCAAATTGACGAGTTTTCTCAGATATAACAGCAGCACAGACTTCGGGTGAATCATATAAGTAGCGCGGCTCAAAAGACTTGTCATTGGGAGTGCAATCAGGACCTTCCTTTCTACTTAAGCTGTCCGGAACTATTTGCTCAATACCTTTTTTGTAAATAATTTTTGGTGAATATTGGCTCAACTCAGCCATCCATCTTTCAAGTCGAGGAGATATCTTGGCAGAATCGTTGTAGTATTTCAGAGGTAAATGGTCAGTATAAACTTCATAATCGTTACCATCGATGAAACAACGCCATGTACGAAGACAGTGCAATATGGCTAAATATTCTCTTTCTTGGGCTGGATATGCTCTTTCCGGAGCACTGAACTTGTGAGATTCATAAGCGACAGGTTTCCATTTGTTATCATCGTTAGGGTCTTCTTGAAGGAGTACACCACCACACATGTAGTCTGAGCTATCGCATTCAATTCTCCATCGATTTGTCATACAAGGTGTAAGTAATACAGGAGCAGATGTGATCATTTTCTTGATATCTTCAAACGCAGCTTGACATTCACTAGTCCAATTTATACCTCGTTGTTTATGACCACCACCTTTGGTAAGGTCGGTGATTGGGGCAGCAACACCAGCAAAAGAGGGCAGAAAACATTTATAGTACTGACACATACCAATAAACTTGCGAATATCTTGTACAGTTTTTGGGATAGGCCAAGATAAAATAGCTTCCACTTTTCTTTTGGACGGACTTATTCCTGCATTAGCAATAATATCATAACCAAGAAATGTTAGTTGTTTACGATTGAACTTGCATTTGTTTCGATTGACCACCAGACCAGCTTCGGCTAATTTCTTCATCACCATGTGCACATGCTCCTTATGAACTTTGATGTCTTTGTCTTTTGTAAAGATTAGCACATCATCAATATATACAATACAGATCTTATCTATATATTCATGTAATACGGAATTCATCATTTTCATGAACTGAGCGCCACTATTCTTGAGACCAAACTGGAATGACTTTCCATCGAAACTGACCATATCTTGTAGTAATAGTCGTTTTTTCGGAGTCGTTTTCGGTTAATCGTTGCTGATGAAAACCGCTTTGCAAATCAATCGAACTAAAATATTGAGCACCGTGTAATTGTTCAAGACATTCATCGATTCGAGGTACAGGTATTCTTTGTGATATGGTAGCCTTGTTGACAGAGCGGAAATCACAGACCATACGAAGTTTCGGAGGTTGACCTTCAACAGCAGCTGGGCTTTTAACAAATAGAACAGGTGTACCGTATTGTGAAGAAGTTGGTTCTAATAATCCTTGTTTAAGCAGCGTATCCAATTGACGTTTCAATTCCCGAAGTTCCAGAGGACTCATCTTGTATGGGGGTTTTGCATCAATTTTTACATTGGGATCCAATACAATCATGTCTTCAACAGAATCACGCATGGGCGGGAGACTATCAATGACACCTTTAAAGACAGTTGGGTATGCCGCAGCCAATTCATCGATCCATTCTTGATTCGTAATTTCTTCAGCCGATCGTTGTACGGGGCCAGAAGTAGGAGTATCGACCATAACCAAAAGATCATTCTGATCATCTAATACTGAAAGGTCTATCAAATAGCATTCATCAATTTTACCTTTTTTGAATAATCTGTCTAATTGTTTAGCAGTAATAACAAAATCCATATCAAGAGGTTTAGAATTATTATTGGTTATATCGGGGATCAGTTCTACTTTATCTACTGGCTGAATCATATGCAATTACAGTGGATCTATTACAGTGACTTGATTAGGGTTGTTACCTATCCGAATTTTCCATTGTCCAGAGAACCAATCGGGGATAGGCTGTACTTGCGATAACCATGAACGACCCAAAATAACATCAAACTTTGTGCCAAATAGATAAGCTTCAATTCGATCCGTATATCCACCTAAAGCAATCGAGAATGACGCAATTGAATCAATGGCTGTTTGTTGGCCATTTGCTGTTTCTACGACTTGACCTTGTAGTGTTGGTTTGACTTTCGATACATAAGGCAACAATCTAGGATGAATATAGTTGGCACTTGCACCTGAATCAATAAGAACAACACAGGGGTGACCATTCACAAGAATTCTATATAGCGGCAATTTGTTCTGGATGTTTTCAGCATGGAGCAAAAAGTCGATATCTTTTTGTATAATTGCTTGATTGACATTCAATGGTTTGACAAAAGAGGCAGAGGACGGTAACACAGAATACAATAATAATGCATCATTCGAACACTGGGCAGAAGTAGAATCTTTATTACTTTGACTATTTAAATTATTACTAGATTGAGGATTCCCTTGCATTGGAGCAGAACCTTGTTGGTAATTCTGGTCTTGAGAGGGATAGTAATTGTTTTGGGGATAGTAACCATCGTTTTCGTAATAATGATCATGAATAGATTCATTCATATAATGCAGTTCGGCATTACCTCGTCTACAGTTGTACTGCAGATGGCCCACCATACCACAATTGTAGCATGATCTGCTTTCACCACCATTCATACCACCACGAAAGCCACCACGAAAGCCACCACGGAAACCACCACGAGAAGGACCAAAAGAACCACGAGAAGGACCAAAAGAGCCACCACGAGATGAACCAAAAGAACCACCACGAGAACCACGAAAGCCACCACGGTAAGAGCCACGAAAACCACCACGACCACCATTGTTATTGACATAATTCAATACCTCTCGAGCAATTGTCACAGAAAGATCCATTGGCTCGGGCATCGACGGATCAGAGGCAAATGATGGAATGGATGGTAAACTTCCATGTTCATTCCGAGCCGATTCGAAAGTATACGCCGCTTGAATTGCTTCATCCATTGAGGGGCATTGGTCACCACGGTAAAGGCTACGTAATTGAATCCGGGCATCTTTACTTTTTAATCCACGGATAAACTTGGCAACCGCTTCATCATCAGTCATTCTAGGAATTCCTAGTTTCAGATTCATAAAATCTTGAATGTAATTGGAGATATTTGTTCGCTGTTGTAATTCTTCCATTTTATCTCGAAAAATCTGCGCTGAGTTAAGAGGTTTGAAACAAACCAGAATACGGGATTTCAGGGTCGACCAATTAGTAGGAGCGGACTCCGAGGCTTCCAGATTTCTAAACCAAACGGATGCCATCTCAGAAAGCAAAGTTTTAGCAAATTTGAATGTTTGAGTACCAT